AAGGAAGTGGGGCTGGGGGCTGTGTGTTGGGGGACTGTAGGGAAATGGGCTGGGGGGTCTCTGTATATTGGGGGACTGTAGGGAAATGGGTTAGGGGCCTCTGAATATTGGGGGGCTGTAGGGAAGTGGGGTTGGGGACTCTGTGTATTGGGAGGCTGGGGGATCTATGTGCTTGGGGGCTATAGGGAAGCGGGGGGCTCTATGCACTCAGGGGGCTGTAGGGAAGCAGGGGGAGCTCTATGTGATGGGGGGACTGTGTGCTCGGGGGCTGTAGGGAGGTTGGGGGGCTCTGTGAGCTCAGGGGGCTGTAGAGAAGTGGGGGTGAACTCTGTGATGTGGGGGCTCTGTGTGCTCGGGGCTGTAAGGAGGTTTGGGGGACTCTGTGCACTCGGAGGGCTGTAGGAAAGGGGGGGCTCTGTGTGGTGGGGGCTGTAGGGAGGTTGGGGGGCTCCATGCCCTCAGGGGCCTATAGGGAAGCTGGGGGGAGCTCTGTGTGCTCGGGGGGCTGAAGGGAAGCTGGGGGGGGGTTCAGTGCACTCACAGGGCTGTAGGGAAGTGGGGGGGCTCTGTGGTTTCAGGGGGCTGTAGGGATGCAGGGCTCTGTGCTCTCGGGGGGCTGTAGGGAAGCGGGGTGGGGGGGTGCTGTGCTCTCGGGGGGCTGTAGGGAAGCAGGGGGCTCTGTGCTGTCGGGGGACTGCAGGGAAGGGGGGGGGGGCTGTAGGTATGTTGGGGCTCTGTGCTCTCGGGGGGCTGTAGGGAAGCAGGGTGGGGGGCTCTGTGCTCTCGGGGGACTGTAGAGAAGCAGGGGGCTCTGGTTTTGGGGGGCTGTAGGGGAGCAGGGTGGGGGGCTCTGTACTCTCAGGGGGCTGCAGGGAAGAGGGGGGCTCTGTGCTCTTGGGGGGCCGTAGGGAAGCGGGGGACTCTGTGGTTTCAGGAGGCTGTAGGGAAGCAGGGGGCTCTGTGCTCTTGGGGGGCTCTGGTTTTGGGGGGCTGTAGGGAAGCGGGCTCTGTGGTTTCAGGGGGCTGTAGGGAAGCAGGGTGGGGGGGCTCTGTGCTCTCGGCGGGCTGTAGAGAAGCGGGGCGGGGGGCTCTAGTTTTTGGGGGCTGTAGGGAAGCAGGGTGGGGGGCTCTGTGGTTTCAGGGGGCTGTAGGGAAGCGGGGTCTCTGTGGTTTTGGGGGGCTGTAGGGAAGCGGGGCAGGGGGCTCTGTGGTTTTGGGGGCTTTAGGGAAGCGTGGGGGGCTCTCTGCTCTCGGGGGGCTGTAGGGAAGCGGGGTGGGGGGCACTGTGCTCTCGGGGGGCTGTAGGGAAGTGGGGGGGCTGTAGGGAAGCAGGGCTCTGTGGTTTCGGGGGCTGTAGGGAAGCAGGGTGGGGGGCTCTGTGGTTTCGGGGGGCTATAGGGAAGCAGGGGGGCTGTAGGGAAGCGGGGGCTCTGTGGTTTCAGGGGGCTGGAGGGAAGCAAGGTGGGGGGCTCTGTGGTTTCGGGGGGTTGTAGGGAAGCAGGGTGGGGGGCTCTGTGGTTTCAGGGAGCTGAAGGGAAGCGGGGGCTCTCTGCTCTCGGGGGGCTTTAGGGAAGTGGGGTGGGGGGCTCTGTGGTTTCGGGGGGCTGCAGGGAAGTGGGGGGGCTGTAGGGAAGCAGGGGCTCTATGGTTTCAGGGGGCTGTAGGGAAGCGGGGTAGGGGGCTCTGTGGTTTCGGGGGGCTGTAGGGAAGCGGGGGCGCTGTGGTTTCAGGGGGCTGTAGGGAAACAAGGTGGGGGGCTCTGGTAACGGGGGGCTGTAGGGAAGCAGGGTGGGGGGCTCTGTGGTTTCGGGGAGATGTAGGGAAGCGGGGTGGGGGGCTCTGTGGTTTCAGGGGGCTGTAGGGAAGTGGGGGGGCCGTAGGGAAGCAGGGGCTCTGTGGTTTGGGGGGGCTGTAGGGAAGCCGGGGTGGGGGGCTCTGTGGTTTCGGGGGGCTGTAGAGAAGCGGGGGGCTCTGTGGTTTTGGGGGGCTGTAGGGAAGCAGGGGGCTCTGTGGTTTCAGGGGACTGTAGGGAAGCGGGGTGGAGGGCTCTGGTTTTGGGGGGCTGTAGGGAAGCGGGGGGGCTGTAGGGAAGCAGGGGCTCTGGTTTCGGGGGGCTGTAGGGAAGCGGGGTGCGGCTCTGGTTTCGGGGGGCTGTAGAGAAGCGGGGGGCTCTGTGGTTTTGGGGGGCTGTAGGGAAGCAGGGGCTCTGTGGTTTTGGGGGTCTGTAGGGAAGCGGGGGGCTGTGTGGTTTCAGGGAGCTGTAGGGAAGCGGGGTGGGGGGCTCTGTGGTTTCGGGGGGCTGTAGGGAAGCAGGGTGGGGGGCTCTGTGGTTTCGGGGAGCTGAAGGGAAGTGGGGGGCTCTGTGGTTTCGGGGGGCTGTAGGGAAGCAGGGTGGGGGGCTCTGTGGTTTCGGGGAGCTGAAGGGAAGCGGGGGCTCTGTGGTTTTCGGGGTCTGTAGGGAAGCGGGGGGCTCTGTGGTTTCGGGGGCCTGTAGGGAAGCAGGGTGGGGGGCTCTGTGGTTTTGGGGGGCTGTAGGGAAGCGGGGTGGGGGGCTCTGTGGTTTCGGGGGGCTGTAGGGAAGCGGGGGGGCTGTAGGGAAGCGGGGGCTCTATGGTTTCGGGGGCTGTAGGGAAGCGGGGAAGGGGGCTCTGTGGTTTCAGGGGGCTGTAGGGAAGCGGGGGCTCTGTGGTTTTGGGGGCTGTAGGGAAGCGGGGTGGGGGGCTCTGTGGTTTTGGGGGCTATAGGGAAGCAGGGGGCTGTAGGGAAGCGGGGGGGCTGTGGTTGCGGGGGTGGGGTGCTCTGTGGTTTCGGGGGGCTGTAGGGAAGGGGCTCTGTGGTTTCGGGGGGCTGTAGGGAAGGGGGTGGGGGGCTCTGTTGTTTCAGGGGGCTGTAGGGAAGCAGGGGCTCTGTGGTTTCGGGGGGCTGTGGGCGGGGGTTGTGTCTCGGGGGACTATAGGGAAGCGGGGCAGGGGGCTCTGTGGTTTTGGGGTGCTGTAGGGAAGCAGGGTGGGGGGCTCTGTGGTTTTGGGGGGCTGTAGGGAAGCAGGGGGTGTGGGGGGGGGGGGCGCTGTGGTTTCAGGGGGTGTAGGGAAACAAGGTGGGGGGCTGGTATCGGGGGCTGTAGGGAAGCAGGGTGGGGGCTCTGTGGTTTCGTGGAGATGTAGGGAAGCGGGGTGGGGGGCTCTGTGGTTTCGGGGGGCTGTAGGGGAAGCAGGGGCTCTGTGGTTTGGGGGGGCTGTAGGGAAGCGGGGTGGGGGGCTCTGTGGTTTCGGGGGGGCTGTAGGGAAGCGGGGTGGGGGGCTCTGTGGTTTCGGGGGGCTGTAGGGAAGCAGGGGCTCTGTGGTTTGGGGGGGCTGTAGGGAAGCGGGGTGGGGGGCTCTGTGGTTTCGGGGGGCTGTAGGGAAGCGGGGTGGGGGGCTCTGTGGTTTCGGGGGGGGGCTGTAGGGAAGCGGGGGTGGGGGCTCTGTGGTTTCGGGGGGCTGTAGGGAAGCAGGGGCTCTGTGGTTTGGGGGGGCTGTAGGGAAGCGGGGTGGGGGGCTCTGTGGTTTCGGGGGGCTGTAGGGAAGCGGGGTGGGGGGCTCTGTGGTTTCGGGGGGCTGTAGGGAAGCGGGGTGGGGGTTCTGTGGTTTCGGGGGGCTGTAGGGAAGCAGGGGCTCTGTGGTTTGGGGGGCTGTAGGGAAGCGGGGTGGGGGGCTCTGTGGTTTCGGGGGGGGCTGTAGGGAAGCGGGGTGGGGGTTCTGTGGTTTCGGGGGGCTGTAGGGAAGCAGGGGCTCTGTGGTTTGGGGGGGCTGTAGGGAAGCGGGGTGGGGGGCTCTGTGGTTTCGGGGGGGGCTGTAGGGAAGCGGGGTGGGGGGCTCTGTGGTTTCGGGGGGGGCTGTAGGGAAGCGGGGTGGGGGCTCTGTGGTTTCGGGGGGCTGTAGGGAAGCGGGGTGGGGGGCTCTGTGGTTTCGGGGGGGGGCTGTAGGGAAGCGGGGGCTCTGTGGTTTGGGGGGGCTGTAGGGAAGCGGGGTGGGGGGCTCTGTGGTTTCGGGGGGCTGTAGGGAAGCGGGGTGGGGGGCTCTGTGGTTTCGGGGGGGGGCTGTAGGGAAGCGGGGTGGGGGTTCTGTGGTTTCGGGGGGCTGTAGGGAAGCAGGGGCTCTGTGGTTTGGGGGGGCTGTAGGGAAGCGGGGTGGGGGGCTCTGTGGTTTGGGGGGGCTGTAGGGAAGCGGGGTGGGGGGCTCTGTGGTTTCGGGGGGGGCTGTAGGGAAGCGGGGTGGGGGGCTCTGTGGTTTCGGGGGGGGGGCTGTAGGGAAGCAGGGGCTCTGTGGTTTGGGGGGGGCTGTAGGGAAGCGGGGTGGGGGGCTCTGTGGTTTGGGGGGGCTGTAGGGAACCGGGGTGGGGGGCTCTGTGGTTTCGGGGGGGCTGTAGGGAAGCGGGGTGGGGGGCTCTGTGGTTTGGGGGGCGTAGGGAACGGGGTGGGGGGCCTGTGGTTTGGGGGGGGGCTGTAGGGAAGCGGGGTGGGGGGCTCTGTGGTTTGGGGGGGCTGTAGGGAAGCGGGGTGGGGGGCTCTGTGGTTTGGGGGGGCTGTAGGGAAGCGGGGTGGGGGGCTCTGTGGTTTCGGGGGGGGCTGTAGGGAAGCGGGGTGGGGGGCTCTGTGGTTTCGGGGGGGGCTGTAGGGAAGCGGGGGCTCTGTGCGGTCAGGGAGGCTGGGAGCGGGGCTCGTTGCTGAGGGGAAGCCGCCGCGCGCGGGGCCGGGCGGGCCGCCCGGGGAGCGGGAGCGGGGCGAGGCCGGGCCGCGCTCTCGCTGCCCAGTGAAGCCCCTGGGACTGGGGGCCGCGGGGGCGGAGCCGGAGCCGAAGCCGCCGGAGTTTGCGCTGTAGCCGGGCGGCGCTGGGACCCGGAGAACAAGGGCGAGGGGGACCCACCCCGCGAGAGGCCGGGCCGGGCCGGGCCGCTGTGTTCGGGGGGCTCCGCGCCGGGGTCGAGGGGCGCCGGGCCGGGGGGCGCTCGGGGCCCGGGGGGCTGCGGGCCTGGTCGGGGCCCGGGCGGGGGGCGCCATGGCGGCCGCCGAGACGAAGATCATCTACCACCTGGACGAGCAGGAGACGCCCTACCTGGTGAAGCTGCCGATCCCGGCCGAGCGGGTCACCCTGGGCGACTTCAAGGGCCTCCTCAACCGGCCCAACTACAAGTTCTACTTCAAGTCTATGGACGATGACTTCGGGTGAGCGGTGGGGGGGCACCCACCAATCCTGGCCCCGGGCTGTGCTGGGGGGCTCTCTGGGGGGTACCCCCCAATCCTGGCTCCCGGGGTGTGCTGGGTTGGGCACCCCTCCATCCCAGGGCTCCTAGCACTCTCAAATGTCCATGGCTGGGTTAGAAGGTTGGGGGATTTGTACCTTCTTCCCCAAATCCTCTCTCATTTTGGGGCTCCGTAATCTAGTTTTTCTGACACCCCCCCACAAAAATCTGCATCTCTTCAAGGAGCCACCAACCATGCAGGCACACGCTTAATTTTCCTGTGGAGCCCCTGATCCTTTCCTCTCCCTGGGATATTCACATCCCTTCACCCCATTCTGTCATCTAGCTGCATCCCACTCTTTTCCAGTCTCTGGAAAAGTCACCCATTTCTGGCTGAGGAGCTCTGCTCCTCCTCTCTTGCAGAGCACCTGCTTGGGAAGGGGTTGCAGAGCCCGTCTTGCTTGGTTTTTCCCCCCCTCACAGGATTCACAGTTTACACTAGAACTTGTGAGGGGGCGACTGGGGGTTGCAAGTGGCCTATAGTTTCACACTCCTCCTAGCTCCTTTCTACTACAGCCAAAGACTGCCTCAGGCTGTGACCTTGTTCAGTCTCATAAATTAAACAGGGCTGGGCCTGGTTACTGCTTGGATGAGAGTCTTTCAGATAATTCTGAGTGCTGCAGAAAGCCGTGTGTGGGAGTCATTAGGGGGTACTTTCTCTGCTGAGTCCGTTTTGACCCAAATGCCCCAGTCTGGTGTTAGGTCTGGAGATGACCGCTTTTAGTTTAGACTTAGAACCAATGTTGAGCCTATTCATGGTCCTGAAATGAGTTGGTATTACCTTTTGTCCAAATTCCAGTTGAGTTAAGTACATCTTCCTGCCCTACCTTCTCTCTGGAATTTCAGTTGTTTGCACTACATATTCTGTGCCTAAATTGTTGTATCCCGTTGTTGGGTACTGCCAAACTGCTGCTGCCTTCCCTTCAGAGGAGGCTGCATTTCAGTGGTGGGTGAAATGAATTCTCTATGCATATTGTTTGTAAATAAATGCTTTGGGATCCTTTGAAATATTGATCTCAAAATGAATTGGAACTCTTGACTGCACCACTGCCATAGAGGTGGAAAAGTGTCTGTCTGCATTTGTCAACCAAGAGTAGTAATACATCGCAATGTCTCAAGTTGTGGCCAGGGGGTCTGGTGGAAGCTGCAGGGACCTGTGTTAGGCCTGGTCTTATTTCATAGCTTCACTAATGATCCAGAAGAGGAGGCGTATGGCAGATCAGTGAAATTTGCAGATGAACCAAAACAGGGAGGAGCTGCAGATACCAGTGAGGACAGAGAAATGATACAGAGAGACCCAGTGAGACTAGAAATGGGCTGCAAATAATAAAACAAGGATCATCTTGGACAAATGCAGCTCATTCAATGGGGGAAGGGAATAACCCTAAACCTGGATCCTCTTTGGGTGGAAGAAATCTGCAGTGTGGGAGTGGATGAGAGAGACTGAGGGGGTGGGCAGCAAATCAGACAGGAGTCTGCAGTGTGATATGGGGTAAAACGCTGGTCAGTGTGGTTTTGTTTTGGTGCCACGTACTTCTATGCTGCTGAATAAATCATCTAATTGAGGCTGCAGACACAGAGGCCTCAAGTTCTGGAGCAGGGAGGGGAGAGTCTCTCTCTGCCTGACTCTGGGGAGAACCCATCTGGAATGCTGCGTTTAGTTCTGGGTACCTGCTCGTTCAGGGAAGTGTAAGGAGAACGATCTGAGGGTTGGAGGGAGACAGTAAGACTGATCCAGCTGTGGAATTGTTCCCAAGGAAGGGGCGGGGACCCTGTCACATGAGATGTTTTGGTAACTTCTAAATAGTATACAGGAGGGAATAACTTTCAACTGACCCACGGGGAGGTGGGCTGGCAGGTACCTACTCGGGTCTTGTATCTCCATCTTAGTAAGATGCATGGGGAGGAGAGATCGTAATGATTTGTAGAAGGGCATGGACACTTGCAGTGCCATGTGAATGACTGAAAAGAATTGCTGTGTGATTGAGATAGAAAGGGGTGGTATTCATGTGCACTTATTACTCTTTGCCAGACAATCTGCCCCTTTTCCCCAGGTTGCCCCTTCCCCCAGCACCTGCAAGGAGGAACATGGCTTGTGTGGAGTGAGTCTCCTAAGCCAGCCTGGTTCTGACAGTGGGAGAACTTCTAGAAACTACTTCTTTATGAGGCAGAGGGAATGTTGGAGCCTGAAGGTTCAGTGGCAGCTGGTAAAACAGAAAGGAGAAGCCTCCAGCTGGGATGGGCCTTGGCCCTGGTTCTAAGGAGACAAAACTCTGCAAGCTGTCTGCCAGGGATGGATGCATTTCACTCTCCCCAGAGTCAGCCAGATTTACCTGCTAATACAGGCCTAACAATTTCCCCTTTCCTCCTCTGCCCTTAGCCCAGGCCTGGTCAATTCCGTCTTTTCCACCTTTCTCCAGGCAGGACAGCTCTGGCATGGCGTTCCCTTGGGAGCTCCGTTCAGCTCTCCACATCCCAAAGCAGCAGTGCAGCCACTGGCTTAGGCCATGTCTTCTCTGTGAGCACTAGGGCAGCACAGCTATGGCACTTTAGTGTGTTAGGGTAGACACTTGCTACGGCGCTGAAGGCGCTTTTCCGTCACTGTAGATAATCCACCTTTCTGAGCAACAGTAGGTGGGTTGATAGAAGAATTCTTCCATTGATCTGGTCATGTCTACCCTGCGGGTTAGGTCAGCACAGCTACAGTGCTCCGGGGTGTGAATTTTTAGCTATGCCAGCCTAACATTTAACTGTAGACCATGCCTTAGCGTGTGGGATTTTCCTTTCTTTTATTTATCTTGGTAACATCTGTTTGCTCTGAGTATCAGGATTGCAGGGAGGCTGATTCAGAGTTTTCATCTCCTTGGAAATGTGAACCAAGATTCTCCTTACTGAGTGCGGAGTTGCAGGGCTGATCAGCAGTTAATGATAGCCAAAGTGCAGGGTACCCAGCCTTGAAATAAGCGAATCCCAGAACGGTATCTTCTGTGGGAAAAGAAAGAAAGAAACCCAAGAATAATTAATCTTGCAAATTTGGAAGAGGGGAGGGTTAAACAGAGAGGTTGCAAGGTTTCCTGAGCTAGTCCTCATGGGGAAATGTGTTTATTACCCACCCACGAAGCAGGAGTCTGTTGCTGGACTGAGATGCGACAGCTACAAATGGCAGTAAAGTCCCCTTGGGTAAGTCACTTAATCTTTCCGTGCCTCAGTTCCTCATCTGTAAACCAGCCATTATAATACTGCCTCCCATCCTTTGTTTGTCTTGTCTCTTGAGATTGTAAGATCCTCAGGGCAGGGACTCTTACGTGTGTGTGTTTGTGTGTGTGTGCAGTGCTTCACCCAACGGGCCCCGATCTCAGTTGATACAGTAATTTAAAAAAAAAAAACCTAAAAAATCAGGGTACCCGTGCAAGGACATCACAAACACTACACCTCCTGAAGCCCCATTGTAGCTTGCATGGTTATTCAGTAAGGGTATGGATCTCAGTAATGTGTGAAAAGGCTCCCCCAAGTTGTCATAGTGAAATGGTGTCTTGCTTTGTGCATCACAAATGCAGGTTTCAGAGTAACAGCCGTGTTAGTCTGTATTCGCAAAAAGAAAAGGAGTACTTGTGGCACCTTAGAGACTAACCAATTTATTTGAGCATGAGCTTTCGTGAGCTACAGCTCACTTCATCGGATGCAGGTCTTCTCTGCAGTCTGTGCTATGATACAGTTGCAAGGGTTAAACTAAAGGTGTGATTTTTAAGCCAGTTTAAATTAACCTGGTAAAACTCTGCTTGTGGCTGTTCTCTCAAATCAATTTAAACCAGGTTTTTATTGGTTTAGATTTTACCTGTAACCAATATAACCAGTTTTAAACCAATAGAAGCATGTCCATGTAGTCCTTGCTCTGGTTTAATTTAAGTGGTCTTTTAAACTCATGCAATTTCTGTGTGTGGGTAAACTGTTAGCAACTGGCTTAAGGGTTTCCCTCTTCTCTCCTCTCCCTAAATCCTTAGCTGCCTGAAAGTTTTAATTTTCCCCCTTAGTCTGCTTCTTTTTCTCATAACTCCTCTTGTGCTTAAGGAAGTGGTTGGTCTGAGCGATTGGTTGTTTTGCTTGTCTCCATTGTGCCTTGCCAACTCTTCTGTTCCATTCCATTGCAGTCTCTGGACCTCTGTGATCTCCCCTTTTTTGGCAGTGATAAGACAAACTAGCCCCCATGCCCTTTTGTGCTGCATCACTTAAAGGACACAAGTGATTTGGAGTGGGATGATGGGGTGCTTCTGCTGCTTCTCCCATTGATTTTTGCTTCTCCCACTTGTATTCAGGAGTTGATTCCAACTTTAACCTTTGAACAGTACCGAGTGATTTCCAGGTCTCAGCTGGCAAGCGAAAATTGGTATCCAACTAATCACCAGCCTGATAACTAATCCAGGCCTGTTTAATTATCACTCAGCTTTCCAAAGATGGGTTCAAGGCTGAGATTAGGAGAGCTTTCTGGAGACCGAACAAAGCAGGCCCTGCTGGAATTCCCAGCTTGTGGGTCGGACGCTGTTGGTATTTGGCGACCTCATCTTGCGCACATGTGCATGGGGAAATGTGTTGATGTCTGCTGAGAGGCTGGCTGATTTATTTTTATTGTGGGATCTTTCTGAAATCAGTGCCAGGAGCCTCTGTCTTCCTGGTTGAGAGTGTTTGGAGACAAGGAATGGATCCTATACTTAATAAGCAGTGTCAATCCCTAAGAAGTGGTGAGCTGCCTCACAGTGTGCCAGCACTTTGGAGCCTGAGATGATATTTTCTTGTATGCGTAACTTTCTTGTTTGCAGAAGGCTCTTGGCTTTGCCCTGTTCCTGGTGATAGGTGCTGCTGTCACTCAGACTGGATTGCATGCAGGGAGAGGGTGAGAGAGAATCTGTTGACAATGTAAGTGAGCTT